AACATCAAATAGTATCAAAGATTTTTTTTTCAATTTATTTTTTAGTAATGATAGATGAAGATCATTGATAATTACAACAGTTTTGTTGCACTCCTGACTGCAGTAAAATTTAATATTAAAATCATAGAACACAAAAATTCATTAAGTACATGTATTGGCAACATCAAGTGGTAACAAAATTGTGCAATATTATAGTCCAATACTTCATAATTATTACAACACATGAAAGTATTTAAACTTAGCTTAATATCTTTAATTATTCCCCTTTTAAGTCAAAAAACTAGCTAAAAAATATATTTATAAGATAAAATACAGGTATATTTTATAGTATATTTTCCTGCACAAGACAAACACTGTAAGCAACTAAGGTCAACCAGAAACATTCTACTCATCAATTTTTTTCTTTATATTTATACATATTTGATCAGCAATAATCCTAACATATTTGTTGCACTCCTGACCAAGAGCATGGGGGTCTTTAAAGTAGAATTGTGAAGTGAAAATTACATCAGAACTTGTTCTGTTGTTTCAGTGAAGTTGAGGTAGAATTACTTGAATTTTATAACAGTTTTTCAGTGCGTTAATTTTTTACATTAATTCATAAAAAAAAAATAAAAGAAAAGATAAAAAAAAATACATCTAAATTGAAAAAAAGAAAAAGAGAAGGATTTTGATAATAAAACTGTCAAAAATTTAGTACTGAATTATTCAAAAAGATCATTTTTGATTAAAGAATACTTCTTAACATCAATAGAAGTCTTTTCATCACATAACTCGAATCTTTGCAAAAATGTGTTGCACTCCTGACCATAGAAATATAGATCTGAAACACAGACAAACCCTGTAATTGATAAAACTATTTTGTAAAAATATTCTAGGTGTCTTTATTTTCCAAAATAAAAATCAGAGAATCATATAATGTTAAAAGTTTTTTCATGCTGGGGGACAAAAACATCAAATGTTGCACTCCTGACAATATTGGGTATGCACAGGTACTTGATTTCATTAATGCTGCTTTTAATTTATATGACATTTTGAAGTTTTAAATTGTATGTCAGTTATTGTCAATGAAATATATGGAGATAAAGAACAGTATTCGAGCTCAAAAGTCCATTAAACATTACAAAATTGGAGCAGAGCAAACACGGACCTCTAAGACATCAGAGGTGGGATCAGGTGCCATGGAGGAGTGAGCATCCCCTGCCGACCGGTCACACCCGCCGTGTGCTTCTTGTCACGATCGGGAAATAACGGAAAAATCCGTCAACCATTCAGTGTGTAAAAATGGCCTAACAATTAGTACAAATATCATATCTGCTTGAACTTTTAGTAAGGCGTAATATTCTCAGCTATACATAATTAGCGTCTCTCAAATAGTGACCTATAGATTCTCACTGGTTGCCAGATTAGCTCATCAATACTGAAATTTACACAGCTTTTCATTTACGGGTGAAATACACATGGAACTAAAATGGTTCAGACGTCAACGAGTGACACAAGGAACCAATTACATCGTTTCTTACAGTAAAGATGTGTGGCTTATGTCATCTCATTGTTTCTTAACTACAATCTAAAGTTGCTAATGTTATGAATTTCTTATCCAATGAGAATCTAGGTCACCATATGAGAGACGCTAATTATGTATCGCCGAGATTGTCACGCCTTAATGAAAGTTCAAGCAGAAATGATATTTGTACTAGTATGAAAAAATCAATGTGTTTCACTTTGAAAACTCTTTTTTGACTTAATTGTCTTTCAGATTTTTAAAATCGATGTTTTTTGGCAACACTACATTTTTTCTGTTGCACTCCATGGTATAATATTTTTTTCAACCTCAGCCATGACCACAACTTGGTCAAACAAAAGTTGCTACAGTCTACATTTAAAGCTCAATACTTTGAATATTATCTGGAGAGTCTTTATTTCCAACATAAACCATTATTATTTATTTCACAGATCTTCAAAAAATATTGATTTTTTAAAATGTCACAAAAAGGTGTTGCACTCCTGACATTTTTATCATCATTTTTGGGCATAACTTTTTTGTGAATTGAGATATCTATGAGATATATGACAGGTATTTAGACAATATCAAAAGACATATGCTTAGACATAGAAATTTAATCCTATTGCCTTTATTTTTAGTGCAGGTTGATAAATATGTGTTTGGTAATTTTTTTTAATTCACTCTTGAATGTTTTTCAAGTTACCAATCAAGTTTTCCAGTATCCATATATACAGCCGCGCAATTTATAAGTCTACAAAAGTAAAGTCTACAAGTTTGTCGAATTTTGATAATGAGAAATAGAGAGATAACAGTGCCGCAGTTTTTAAAAATGTTTTTTTTTTTTTAAATTCTTGTTTTTCAAAATTTATTTCAAATATATATATATATATATATATATATATATATATATATATATATATATATATATATATATATATATATATATATATATATATATATATATATCTTTTTTAATTCTTGACATCATTGACAGCTGATTTTTCAATAAAAACAGTACTCGTAAATCTACTTTCCTTGCCATTGGTCATTTGCAAAATTAATTTGTTAAAAAACATTCTGATTGTACACACAAGTACTCCTAAGTTGATATTAAAAAAGATGCTTGACTTTCTGATTGACAATACTTTTGTGGTTTTTGGAGACCAGGGCCCGGTTTTTCAAAAGGTGGTTAACTCTAATCTGGTGTTAACATGGTGTTAACTTCTGCGTTAAATTTGACCACAAGGTTAAGCGCTAACATACTTTTGAAAAACACTTAACCATGTGGTCAAATTTAACGCACAAGTTAACACCAAGTTAACACCAGGTTAGAGTTAACCACCTTTTAAAAACCCGGGCCCTGGTATAAAAAAGTAAGTAAATTTGAATGCAATTTTCTTAAAGATATTTTTAAAATAAAAAAAATCTGCACGTTTATTGTTTATTTATGTTTATTTATTTATTCATTCCTTAAGCCATATGGCTTATCAGATTAGACAATTACAAAATACAAGATGTACATTCACAAAATATTACATACACTTGTTTTAACATATTATTATTTGTGCCCAATATTTCCAAACAAATACTTAAAAAAAATTAGTTTACAGATGCGAATTTCTAAGTGCTTCTACTTTCTGGAGGAATTTCCCTATATTACTTATCAGTTGATAATAATTGTAATTCTACGGGGGTCACTTTTCGTTGTTTTCTTGGTATGAAGGGACCCACGAATTCATATCCTCCACGAAATGTAAAACTTTCAGACTGCAGAATAATGCTTCTCTTTAACCACGAAATTAAATACCATCAAACCAACAATTTTCCCTCTAACCACGAAAATTTGACCCCTCGAAAAATTAGTGATTTTACAGTAAGACAAAAAATCTCTAAAAATTGATAATTAACGCCCACTTTGCCGTTCGCTAAATAACCCAATCATTGATCTTTGACCATCAAAGAGATCGAAGAAGATGGTCAGTTTTCTGCTTCCATGGTTAATTATCTTTTAGGGGGGAAACAACCTTGTGCACAGTAATTCAAAGACAATGAAAATCCACAGTTAACCATTAATTTTTTGTTTAAATGCAAATGAGTAAAATATCAATAGTAAATATCTTAAATTAAATTCTTATTCTGAAATTCAAAAGAGGCTACACCATTATAATATAACAATACTAGCATCATTACTGTTTCTGGTAGCGTTGACCGAATTATAATCAGCAAAGTATAAACAAGATTAGCATGCTAATGTTCATATTCGGCACACGAATGATGTAATACAAAGAGGTCCATACACTGTAGGCCTTCCATCTTCCACTAGGTTAGTTTGCGTTTCCACGGTACTTCACTGACAGCGCTGATTTATGCTCTAAACGTTCAGATCCATAGGTAAACTCATAAACTCACGAAGTTACCAAAATAATACATTTCTACATAAAAATGAACAACAATTTTAATGCAAATCTAAAGTGAACTCCATCCCCTCTCCAATTTCTACCTGTTCACTTTTCTTTCTGTTCAGTGTAAAGAATATTGAAAATAATGCATTGCATTTAATTGGGTTTTGCTGTTCCAGGTAGAATGAAAGACATTCTTATATCTTAACCCTTTTGTGTACACAATCAATATCACAACAATACAAGAATACAGGATGCTATGTTATACAGCATGTGTACTCATGCATCACCGCTTTGTTGAACGCTTTCTTAAACATGAGTTACCTTTCTTTATAATACAGCAAAATCAATTAATGATTTCATTTTTTAAAAAAACAATTTTATTAATTATACGTTATGAATAAACAATATTCTTGAGAAATGCAAGTATCTATAAAACTATCTATCAAAGTTTCATTACCATTGGTGCAAACAAAAAAAAATAAATTTGCAAGCCCTATATACTGTTGACCTTTGGTGATTTCACACGCGTGCATATATATATATATATGTATACTGCATAGATTTCAAAGAAATGGAGCCTATTAACAGTCGGATAAGAATACAGAACATAGGAGACGAGACAAAACGGAAGAAGGTAAGGACTTTATGATGAAGACAAGGCGAGGAAGGACTACGTATTGGAGTTTAAATTTCAAACGTACCTTGTAGTTTCAAGGCCTATATACTGTGACCTTCGGGATTACAACAGAAAATTGTTAAAAATCTAGTAATATAAACCTTTTACATGCTATGCCTGCACTTGCAGATACATATGTGGAGACCCCCGGACTCAGATGCAAAGAGTATCTACTTTACCACAGTCTTCTAATCAATGTAATTAACTTTATAACATTTTGTTAAAATCTAACAATCATAACACCATGCAAAACAAAACTTGTAAATGATATTTAAAAAAGTATTTTCCAAATGAATTGTTTGTAAGCTCTCCATTCCCGAAAAATACGGTGCTCAAACAAAAGTGACGTCACAAGTGCATTTTTAAACACGTGTGATAGATGCAAGTCAGCCATTTTTTAAAAAACAAACAAAAGTATACGTGTACTGTACAGGTTTAACATGGAGCCTATTAGCAGTCGTATAAGAATACAGAACATAGCAGACGAGACGAAGCGGACGAAGGTAAAACAAGGCGAGGAATGACTTACGTATAGGGCTAGAAAGTTGACAAACGTGAAGCTGTTCTTGATTTAAACAGGAAACATGCAAGTAATATTTATGCATGTTTTCTGTTTCTGCCTTGCTGAATTGACGTTCAGTTTTTAGCTTGACTACATTTACAGTCCTCGGACAAAAGAGCTGACAAAAAACGGTGACTGCTTCTGTTGGTTTTGATAAAATGCGAAAAAACTTACCTTAGTAATTTTGTCAATGTTCTTTAAAACGAATTAAGATTAAAGGAGGAATACATCATGTAGTTCCGGGTTTCTAGTATACACTGCCAAATTTTGAGTGCTTCTTGACAACATGGTACAAATATTGCGATATTTTGTCTTTAGCGGAAAAATTTTGTTTTGAAACAGTCCATAATAGACATTGTAAGTCAATTTTAGTATTAAAAAAATTGCAATCAATATTTCTGCAAAGTTGAAATTAGGAGGATTTTCTCTTGCTCCTATTATTAAGGTTCAAGCATTGTTATATTTCTGTAGAATAAATACACAAGTAACGAATCCTCATCTGAAAGAAGCTTTTGAAATTAACACGTCTCTTCATAAAACTGCTTTTTACTTGGTATAGTTTTGCTTCTAATATTTTTAAGGAAATATGACTGGAAGCAAAAGATGATGTTACTTTTCATAAAACATACAATAGAATTAAGTATTCTCTTCAACAAAAATTCAAAAAGACAATGCATGATGTTTACAGTCTAAAGGTCTTAAATAAACTCACTACATTTACAGATAGCTCAAAATCGCCTCTTTATTAAAACTCAATTTAAAATGGAAGAATACCTATTACTAGGGGAAAAAATTACAACCTGACAGCTAATTTCAAAATTTAGAGTGAGTGAACATTCTTTAAAATTTGAAAGTGGTAGACACAAAAATATTCCAAGAAATCATAGACTATTGTGTGTAAAATTTGTAATAAATTCTTTCTTGTGAAATGTATAGAGATAAGAACAGCTCAAAAGTCCATTAAACAATACAAATTTTGGAGCAGAGCAAACACGGACCTCTAAAACACCAGAGGGGGGATCAGGTGTCATGGAGGAGTGAGCATCCCCTGCCGACCGGTAACACCCGCCGTGTGCTCCTTGTCATGATCGGGTAATAACGGAAAAATCCGTCGACAATTCAGTGTGTAAATAATGGCCTAACAATAAGTATGAAAAACGTCAGTCAGCATTTGACTTAATGATAAATTGTATTTGCAGACAAGGTCATTGTATCGACCATAGAACTTACGAAATGACGACTTTAAACGAAACTGCTGATATTCTTGTTTTATCAACTTGTTTGTCAATAATATACCTTGTATTAGAAATTGTTCATACGTAGAGTATGCTCTTGCGTATCGAATCAACTGAGAGATATAAACCCCATATGCAGGTGATAAAGGTATATTGCTACATAAGTTAGAGAAATTGACGATTGAAAAGTTAAAGTTATCATGTTTATCATAAAGCTTCTTGTTAGGTTACCATTAACGTCTTTTTCTAGTAAAATATCCAAATGTCTGTCAGCAAAACCAACAAAACCTTTTTCTCAGAAATGTATTCTCTAAAAATAAATATACTGTATAAACAATACTTAAAAAAAAGACAAACAACTCAGCGAAATACAACAAATTTTAAATCCAAAATCTGAACTTTTGTCAGCAGTTGGACACTTCATAAAACAGTCATTAGAACTGCGAAAATGAGGTCCATGTCAGTCAAAAGTTTTTACATTGTTCTTAATGTACTATAAAGCCATTATGAAATGTACCTGTTTATCATAAATATGCAATTTTTGTTTTTGTATTTGCTTGACCCATATGGATGTTATATGCAAATAAATATATACATGTATAGATAAAGAACTATGTAAGTGTTGTAGTTATTTTTATATTCTTATACTTCTTGTATTATATCTGGCAATAAATTCCTGTACTATTTACACCCTTTGAAAAGGAGAATTAGCATTCTGACATTATAGAAAATGACAATCCAGAAGTTACTTTCCAGTGACTAGTGTATTGCCATTAACTCTAGATAAAGTTCAATTCCGACCCCGTTATTAGATATAAATCCCATACAATCACACTGAATTTGCGTTCATTTTGGAAACTATCCGGCCTTCTAAAGCTTTTCTTCACACACACATGAGTCTATTCCCCCAACCCACTCCCCATTCATCTCTAGAAACCAACTTTACTTTCTCTACGCCATAACAGCAGCCATGACATCATGTTTTTTTTAATAAATTTTTTTAAATAACTTTTACTTTCTTCCTATAAAATGCCTCTAGAAAATCTTCAAGGATTCTTGTTTTTATTGAATTGATCAGTAATTTTACCCAAATGGTGCACAACCACCCTTTGCCACTTTTTTTCTTAGTTTAATGTTTTATTAGACGCAACACAATTACTTTCGGACAACACATTTGTTCCCGTCATTTTCTAAACTGCTAGTTAATGCATAATGGTTTGAAATAAAATACACGTAATTCTTTTCCTGAACAAATCGATTGATTTACAGGTAGAAGATATTCTGAAGCCACAGAGTCTGAATGATGCAACTATTCAAAAAATAATGGAGACGTTCGAAGACCAGATTTCCCTCGCTAATACAATGGACCCAGAAAAAAGAAAACAGTCGAATTTGCTATGGGAGTGTACTTATGTACGAAATCTTTTGAAAGGGGATGGTAAAAAATACATTGTTTTAGTAAAAAGTGTGACTCAATTAACAATTATAGTGAATGCTTTGAGATTGAAACAAGAACTAATCATGCCTATTTAACATAATAAACTGTATTACTGTATATCGGTCTCGATTTTTATTCTGTAGAGAACGCTGATTTCGTAGGTCTAAATCTTTATTCTGTAGAGCACAGGGATTACATCGGTCTAGATCTCTGTATTATTCAGTTGAGAACTGTGATTACATTGGTATAGATCTTTATTCTGTAAAGAACGGTTATTACATCGATCTTGATCCTTATTGTATAGAGAATGGTGATTACATTGGTATAGATCATTATTCTGTAAAGAACGGTTATTACATCGATCTTGATCCTTATTGTATAGAGAATGGTGATTACATTGGTATAGATCATTATTCTGTAAAGAACGGTTATTACATCGATCTTGATCCTTATTGCATAGAGAACGGTAATTACACTGGTATAGATCTTTCTTCTGTAAAGAACGGTTATTACATAGATCTTGACCCTTATTCTATAGAGAACGGTGCTTACATCGGTCTAGTCTCTGTATTATTCTGTAGAGAACAGTTATTACATCGATCTACATTTTTATTTTTTATTCTGTAGAGAACGGTGATTACATCGGTCTAGATCTTGGTGGAACAAACTTCCGTGTTGTTAGAGTCGTGATGAAAGACGGGGTGGCTACCACGACCACGAAGTATTATAACTTAGACGACAAACTTCTGTCGGGCCCTTGTAAATATGTATGTATAAAGTTTAACAGATCTTTGCATTGAAATGAAAATTAGTGCTAGTTGACTCTATTTAAGATCCAAGTTTTCAGTGTTTATTTTTTCTATTAGATTTTTGACCATATTGCTGAGAGTTTGGAACAATTTTTACAAGAAGAAAATATCACAACAACTGGTCCACTGCCTACTGGTAAGTAGAAAATATCACAACAACTGGTCCACTGCCTACTGGTCCGTAGAAAATATCACGACAGCTGATCCACTGCCTACTGGTCCGTAGAAAATATCACGACAGCTGATCCACTGCCTACTGGTAAGTAGAAAATATCACGACAGCTGATCCACTGCCTACTGGTAAGTAGAAAATATCACAACAACTGGTCCACTGCCTACTGGTAAGTAGAAAATATCACAACAACTGGTCCACTGCCTACTGGTAAGTAGAAAATATCACAACGACTGATCCACTGCCTACTGGTAAGTAGAAAATATCACGACAGCTGGTCCACTGCCTACTGGTAAGTAGAAAATATACAACAGCTGGTCCACTGCCTACTGGTAAGTAGAAAATATCACGACAACTGGTCCACTGCCTACTGGTAAGAAGAAAATATCACGACAGCTGGTCCACTGCCTACTGGTAAGTAGAAAATATACAACAACTGGCCATGGTCCACTGCCTACTGGTAAGTAGAAAATATCACAACTGGTCCACTGTCTACTGGTAAGTAAACTAAGTATTAATTCACATTCATTAAATACATACTATTTTCATGGACATAAGCAAGAAACTTGGAACGTAATTAAGGACTTCAATTCTACCAAATAATTTGCTGTATTTCTGGAAACAAAAAAGTTTTTAAATTAGCCCAAGGCCTAATGCAGAATTCATTTTTATCTAGCGTTTAAGATTATTAATTTATATATATATATATATATATATATATATATATATATATTTAGCGTTTGATGAAATATTGATAGATACATGTACTAACGTTGTAAAATTTGTCCCAGGTCAGGTGAATGCCTTTGATATAATTTGTTACGACTTAGCCGGAAGAATTCAATATTTTATTTATCATTTACTATATATTAGAAGTAAATATATACCTATTGCCATCACATGCATGGAACACTAAATTATTATTTTAAGAGTTTACCTGATATATGTACATCTCAAATTTTGTCAAAATGTTTTGATTTTCAAAGGATGTTCATATCAGAATATTTTGCAAGCATCTGCGAATAATTTTTTTTAAAGGTTTCACCTTTTCCTTCCCCTCTGATCAGAAGTCTTTAAAACACAGCATCCTTCTAACATGGACCAAATCTTTCAAATGTCTGGACGGACCAGGGATGGATGCTTGTGTTTTGTTGGAAGAAGCTCTTGCTAGGAGAAAGGTAAAAGGTTAAGAATTTGATGAAATGTCCTTTAATTCTCCGAGATTCTTGTTGCATGGGAACACAAAATACAATGAGAGAAATATTCAATATACTTTGCCAGTATAACAACCTTTGTTGGTATGGATTGTAAAGCAGTGTTTGTGAAAGTTGAAAGAAGGTTTGTTACAAGTAGACTTTTCTCAAAAATCTAAATATTTCAGAAAAAAGTTGATAATAGGATCTAGTGGCATTCTTATCACTTTAATATTCATGACAGATGTATTAATTTTACAGGATAGTATGCCGGTTGAGCTGGATGTGATGGCAAGAATCAGTGATACTACTGGGGCGTTAATGGCAGGAAACTACGTGGACAAAAATTGTCGAATTGGAGTGATTCTTGGTATGTTAACTTTCACCCGAAAAGTGCTTGTACCTGTATAAACAGTTTGTTCATGGATTAGATTTTATTTTGTTTGATTTTTAGGGACTGGTTCAAATGCTTGTTTTGTTGAACATCTGGAAAACTTTAACAAATTCATATCCACTGATCCAAATACAAACCAGGTACATTTGGATTGGAAGTATTTCTTTCAATATGATATATCTTTAGTAACAACATTAATTTTCATATCTGAAATTATTTTTGGTACATGTAAACACAAACGTGAAGGGGGTTCGGTATTTTTCGTATCCATGTAGATTTTGGTTAATACGGAATGGGGAGCATTTGGTGACAATGGCTGCTTAGATTTTTGTAGAAATGAATTTGATAAAGAAGTGGACTTGCATTCAAATCATCCAAATTCATTTACGTAAGTATTGTCATTATTCAGGATATTGCTTGTTTCTCTTCGGAATCTTTGTTTCAGTGTTTTTTAACTTTTAAAATATTTAGAAAACGTTTATTTATGTTTATGTTATAGCTTTTAGCTATAATTTATTTATACATGTTTGCATGCTTTCCATCTGATCTCACTAAGCTGTTGGGTATTGATAATTTTTTTTAAATATTTTTTTTTAAAATTCAGATTTGAGAAATCATTTGGAGGGTTATACCTTGGAGAGCAGGTGCGATTGACTCTCGTCAAGCTTATAGAGGGAGGGTGTCTATTTAATGGAAAGTCCTCCCCGGAGCTGATGAAAAGATGGGGGTTTACTACCTCAAACGTTACATCCATTGAAGCGTATTTATTTGTCATGATTTATCAAATTAAACGTGACGTATTATTGACAGAATATAACATACTAAATATTTTAAATATTTGGTATTTAATATTTAGCATAAAATTAGTCAATATTTCTCATGAAGTTTTAAAATATAGATTTCCTAGCACCTATATTCAGAATGATTTAAAAGAAAAACCCAGTTGAGATATTTTAGACATACATGTATAATGCAAAGGAGAAACATTACCAAAGAATGTTAATCTAAGCAGAGTGGAAATGAAAACTCAAATAATCATAAGGGCATAGAGTAAGAATAATTGATTTAACAGAGATAATGAGACTTCGGAGAGAACACTGTCAGTCCTTCAGGCCTTTGGTTTGGCAGACATTGCAACAGAGGAGGATGTGTCACTTGTGAGAGAAGTTTGTGCCATAGTGTCGGAGAGGGGGGCCAAAATAGTGGCAGCTGGTAAGAAAGTGCTCATTAATTAAAGGTTATTGTATTTACAAAATATTTCTTGATACATGTAATTCTTGATATTCACATTCAATGAATATTTTCTCCTTTATTTCTTATGAAAACAACTTCTATTTATCAACCCATTAAAGCTAAACTAGTTAGAACAAGGCCATATGTATGAAAGATTTTTTTAAGAAGTGAGCTCTTCCATCAATTAAGCATATCATGACGTGCATATAATAATCAATATAACAATATATCAGTGAACGTACTTACGAGGTTAATCCCAACAATTCCGTAGACAAGCTGCGTTTGTCGGTAAACTGAAGTCACATAAAAAATATAATTATAAAACATATAAATCAAAGAACATATATGTTGCAATAAGAATACTGCAATATTTGAAATAATAAACTAAATAAATCATTGAAATTTAGAGTATCATTTAAGAAAAGCACAAGGAAGAAAATATAAAACTTTAATTAAATTGAACAGAATATTTTTAAACATTTGTTTTCAGTCTATGGGATTTAGAAATTCCTCGTTAAACATTTTTATACGATTATTATACAGACGTAAGTATAAACAAGAAAGTCTTTCTTTCTTTGTTGATGCTTGCAAATATTGTAGAAAAAAATACAGTATAAAACCCGCTTTACATAAGCATAACCGTTAATTTTTACATTAACAAAGAAAGCATTTTATTATTTAAGTTAATCCGAGTATTTCGTTTTCAGCATTAGCTGTTCTTTTGAACCACATACACTTGCCTGAAGTAACGATTGCTTTTGATGGATCTTTGTATGAGAAGCACCCAAAGTATAGGGTCCACATAGCAGATCTTTTAGCTAAACAAGTCCCAACTACAAAGGTATACATTTAATGAATTTTTTAAGTTTCGTTTGAGTTATTGGTGTTTAAATCGAATAGACTTACACGTAGGCATACTCAGTATTTCATGCCGCGCGCTAGCGCTTCATGAAAAAAATGTCCGCGTGCAAGTCCATTGCCATAGCTAGGCAAAAACTGAAGTGCATGCCCAAAACGACAGGGGGTTGGGAGAGCACCCAGAGGCCTCCAGTATCCCCAGGGTCTGGCTCTGGTCAGGGCCCAGTGGGAAAAGCTCCTTGATTAATATTCTGACGATTGAAACTCTTATAAAATAATTTAATTTTGTTTGTATTCTAGCCTCTGATTGGTTAATATCCAAAAAGGAACACAAATTATTTCTGTATAACCTCGTTTGGTATGGGGACCCCCCCCCCGACAACCAGCTGAATCATCTGTATCCATACAGTCCTCTCATTTCCAGTCCTCAGGATTCATAGAAAATTCCAGATATAATAAATGTACCTTTAACTTCAAACAATAATTCAATCTTACCACATGCAAACAAACAACAAGGCTGCTAGGCCTATGTATCAGTTTTTACCTCCCCTCGCTTCCCATCACCTCCGTTACTACGGTTGTATTATTGAGCGGCAAATTTGAACTAATAAAAAGCAACGAAATTTTACACCCATAGTTATTTAATGATTTTAAAATTAAATTATAAGGAATGACTCTAATTCTTGGCCAAATTATTCGAGTATAACCTGGTTTGGGTCAGTTTACGCTGTTTTATAATCCGCTTCGCGGATTATAAAGCGTAAACTGACCCAAAAGAGGTTATACTCGAAAAATTTGGCCAAGAATTAGAGTCATTCCTAAAATATTCCAGTTAATGTTCTATCAAGCCTCTTTCTTTACTCCTCACTAAAATATTAACAGCAGTAAAGGAGAAACTTCAGGTGCACGTGGTCAATATATGCGAGAAGTGGTGATACATAAAAATGCCAAGGAATTTTTAGAAAATTTGAAATCACAAAATTTTAACAAAATCAATAATATCAAAACGTCGACTTTTCAACGCTTTACACAACCATCCTCACGATAAATTAAAGTCCAGGCTTTTTGACATCAAGGACAGCTGCTTTTTCAATAAAAATGGAACTTGTAAATTTAATTAACTTGTCATTGGATATTTGCAAAATTATTTTGTCAAAAACATTCTGATTGTACACAAAAGTACTCCGAAGTTGATATTAAAAGATGCTTGAGTTTCTTATTGTTAATACCCGTTGGGTGCTACTTATTAGCAGACCTTTTTTGTATTCATATGAAGCAGAATTTATTCTAAAAAACTTCTACTTGAAAAGAAGAAGTCTTTTGTGGCCTTCAATTCAGCATTTAGATATATCGACAACGTTTTATCAATTAACAATACAATGTATTTATTTTCATTCCTACGTTGATTCGATATATCACATTGAACTCGAAATAAAATACACCATCTGTTTCATATTTGGATATTTTATCGAAAAAACGTTAATGGTAACCTTACAACAAAACGTTATGATAAACTTGATGACTTTAACTTTTCTATTGTCAGCTTCCCTAATTTATGTAGCAATATACCATTATCAGCCTCATATGGAGTTTATGTCTCCCAGTTGATTCGATACGCAAGAAAATGCTCTACATACGAACAACGAGGCAAGCTATTGACAAATAAGTTAATGATAAATGAATATCAACAGTCCCCTTTAAAGTTGACATTTCGCATATTCTCTAGTTCGATACGATGATCTTGTCAGCAAATACAATCTATCATTAAGTTGGATGTTTATTGACGTTTTTCATACAAATTGTTAGACCATTATTTTCGCACTGAATTGTTTACGTATATTTCCGTTTGCCTGATCATGACAAGGAGCACACGGCGGGTGTGACCGGTCGACAGGAGATGCTTACTCCTCCATGGCACCTGATCCCACCTCTTGATGTTTTTAGAGGTCCGTGTTTGCTCTACTCCCAATTTGTATTGATTCAACGGACTTTTAAGCTTAATAACCGTTCGTTATCTTCATAGTTCATACAATATTGAATTTAAAAACTGTTCACAAAATTGTAAACAAACAACATTGGGGGGGGGGGGGGGCTATTTCTTGTAGTGGCCCCACTTTTTCATTTTCATTATTTTTTTTTTTTTTTTTTTTTTTTGAATTAAAAGATATTTTCATTCGATCGGCACTAGAGTCATAAAAAGCTTGATACAAAAAAACATTTTATTGCTTTTTTTAGATTCTGATACCCCAAATATGATATTTTTAGTGCAAAAAAGGTCACGCAATAACATACGCGCATTAATTTGCAGGATTTTTTCAATAATAAATATTATTCAAATTATTTTACATAAAAACATTATAGTTTTTGCCATGATTACATTTGGTAAAATACAAGGGGTGATCAAAGAGTTCGCGAACTATCTCTATATTTACAAAACCACAATTCAGATCAGAATGAAATTTGGCACACATATAGTCATATACATGTTCTATAAATAGCAGATGTTATGTAATGATTTGCTCCATGTTTGTGACGTCACAATGTGAAAATGACGTCAGTATGTAGGTGACTTGTGACAAAAAATGGTTGACTCAGTCGTACTTGAGTAACGAACGGCTTTAAAGTTTAACGTACATCTTGGAAATTCCTTTGCAGTAGCGTATAATAAATTGTACAAGGTTTATGAAGACAAAAGACTTGCTAGAAGTTCAATCATTAATTGGATTGATTGTTTTAGTGAAGGAAGGGAGATGGTTAAAAATGATATTTGTTTTGTTGCCCTGTGAAAGCAAGCTGGAGAAGAAGTGTGTCCTTAGTTGAGCAATTTGTTATGAAAGATCGCCAAGTTACAGTTAGAAAAATAGTTGATTATCTTAATAATAATATAATTATTAAATCCCTAAAATATAGTTTACTTTAGACTTTAAACATATCAGATATGATAAAAAGAAGGCGCCCATATTTTATCCACATTAGATAAACGACGCTCCCAAGACAGAGGACTCGGGTTGTGATGGTCACCATGCTCATTCTGAGAAAGGATATCCTTATCAATCAATTCTATTGCCGAGATTTGGCCATTTCTGACAAATGGATTGTTCTTGTTATAAAAAATAACTTGCATGGTAAAATATATGAGACTCGGAAAAATCTTCTTAGCTTCTGTGAACAGAACGCTACGGAGCATGTCACGTGACCGCCTGGATCACGTGAATCACACATGGGCAGAACGGTGGCAGATGTGTATTAAAATCGGAGAGGACTACTTTAAAAACATTGAACACTAAAACCTAATCTTTTCGATCACTCTATGATAGTTACAATTTAAGTGCAAAAAGATCAAGTTAATTGTACCGTTGCTTAGTAAGATGCACACGCACTGCCCCCCCCCCCCTTGCCACTTTCTTTACGATTTATTGCTATATGAGTAGTTATCTAAAATATACTTCTAAAACATCCTTGGTGTAACTCATATCAGGAGTTTCATATCTTAACGTTAAAATAATGGAGCCCATCGTAGTTTAGAAGCCTCTATAAACTACATTGTCAATATTAGGGCCAGTATAAATAGTTTCGACATTGTTGAGAAATTTAAAAGGTCACGAAAATTAAAAAATATATATATATGGGCCTTGAGTGCTTTTCACTCACATAGTGGACACATTTTTACATGTAAATGTATAAGTTAGGAAAATAGACATCTCGTGGCATAAATGTATGTTTTGAAAAAGGCGTCTCGACCCATTCAACCTAAAAATATAAGTAGGCCTAAGTAAAAATTAATGTTTGAAAAATCTTCTGCATGAATGTCGTAACAACTTTCGTGGCTCAGTTAATAATATTTGAGGAATATAAATCACAGGATAGTATATTTACATATTATTTTGAAAATAGATAACATACAAAAAATCTTTTCAAGTGCGGGTGCAAATAGTTCCAGATTACATATAACATAGTAACATATTAAATAAAAATTTTAAACTTAAATACGTTCATTTGCTGTTATTTTCAATTTTGTTTTTTTAGTCATTTATTTATTTACATGTATTTATTTATTTTTTAAATGAAATGGTGTGCATGCTTGAGCATACAAGCACACATGGAAGCTACTCCACTCTGCACTGAAGTCCGTGTGATTTACACACAATAATTAACGCAACACTTAAATAAAACAGCCCTTATGTTAACATTTTACATGTTTAAAAGCAACAAATATACACTGAATGTTTGAATTTTTCGCTGCCCTGTATCTTCCATTTTCATGAACATCTCTCTAGCCTCATAGTGACGTCACATTAGCGCGAGTTTCTCCGTGTGTATTTCTACCTGTGAGTGTTCAGGAAAATATCATTAAATTAATTTCATTGTTGGTTTAATAAAACACGTAAAAAAAAAAAAAAAAAAAAAAAAAACCCACAGGAAATGTAAATAATAGAGCATGTATGTTAGTCAAAAAGACAACATGTGCTTTATCTACATTATTCCTTTTTCTTTAATGGTATATAGTTCAATTACTCTGACAACGCTTGCGCATGATCTTCATGACAAAGAGAAAATTAATGTTGATATGTCCGAGACAATTCTTTATTAATGTAATTTACGTGAACATGAAAAAAAGTGCAATAATTGCACTAGGGTAAATTTTAAAAAACCCACTGAAATATGAATATATACTAACAACTTCATGCTATTCTTTATGCTGGTCCTGAAAACTGGAAATTGAGAGATATTATTTCACTGAGATATTAATCTCTTCATTTTTTTCATTACATATTAGACTTTGTGAAAAAAGCACAAATCAGATATATTCACAAATATTTTAGAGAGGTGGAAAAGAAGACCAATGTAAAGACAATACAAAGTTATTAGAACAATGAATCGTCTTAATAACTAATGAAAAAAGTCTTTTTCTTTTTTTAATCCTAGCTGAATTTTTAGAAGAAAAAAAATGAAATTTACTTACCAAAAATATTTCAAAAAGATAAGAAGGTACAATACCGTAATAATATTTTTTTTTCTCCTCCAGACAAAGTTGATTTTGGTAAAAGACGGAAGTGGACAGGGAGCAGCATTTGTGGCCGCTGTAGAATACAAACAGCCTTAAACTAACCAAGGAAATACATATTAATCACCGGAAAGATACATCTTTACTACTGAAATATGTAACACTTTAAAAAGAATATGTAAAAAAAAATATTTTTCATTGTAGAGAGTCACTAAGCACATCATGTCCTAATTTTCAGTATGGATTGTTCTTTTTTCCCAAAACGCTCGTTTTTTTTCATTTATGTATTTCGGGGGTATTTTCTCACTCAAAACAAATGAAGAGTGGAGTGACTGTGTCATGTTGTCTCCATATAATGAACACACTATTTCTATTCGTTTATCATATGTCTGGGGGAAAAGTCAAATTTTATATGGTCAAGTAAAAAACTGAAAGCAAATGATGCCTGAACGCATCTAATGATTATCTGTGCAGACATTAGCAAACTGAGTCAAATGTTAAATCTCAGCTAATAGAGAACGACGCCTATAACATTTCCAAAACAGAAAACAAGAGTAGAAATTGGTAATATCAGAATGAGAAACTAAAAATATAGTAGTAGCATTTTGAATAAATATCAGAGATTATTATATTTTCAGTAACCATGACAACATGTTCATTGACCCCAAAAAACAATAAAAAGAACAATGTATTGGTGTAGTCTGATTTGTACATAAAAATTAATTGATATCAGACTAAATCTGTAGGAGTGGCATTTTGAGAATTTCCACTGTATTTTATTTTACTACCAATGGTACATGTAACATTGCTCGCCGAATCAATCTATTTGTGAAGAAAGTTTTATTCAAATTAAACCAAAACTGTAGAATGAATATCATTTTGAAAAATTGTTAACAGGAAGACGGACATCATATCAAATCCGTAATCTCTTCTGATTTCTTAGCAATAAAAAGTATTTTTACTGATCGATCAAAACAAAAAAAAAACAAACAAAACAAAACAAAACAAACAAACAAAACGAAACAACAACAAATAACTGACGGACAGATTAAGGAGATAAAGTTTTTAAGGCGGGTTAATCATCAATTATTTCTTATTTCACGTTTGAGTATGCTTAGTTTGTGGATTTTAAGATAAGACCTCTATATCGGTCTCATTGAATGATCGGATTGACCTCTATACCGGTCTCATTGAATGATCGGATTGGACGGTGAAAAAAATCACCTTCTGATGGGACTATAGTTTCTGGCAAAACAGAACAAGGCCGACAACGACATGATGCTGCAATTGTCACTGGGAATGGAACTGTCTGGAAAAGTCGAGAGGTTCCGCCCGAGGGACACCGAAGAAATGTCCTAAGGTATTGTACCTTGTCCTGTTGGCAGCATTGGCAGAAATGTATAACTTCTCTTGACGATGTTTGAGACGGTCTAGAATGAGAGAAACAGCCGCCCATGCAAGCTCTGACAAGAAGCCTCTTTGGTTGGCAGCTTCCATAGCGTACTGTGTAGATGGCATGACGCCGGAAACACTGCGACTTTATGAAACTAATTGCCAAGGCAATGAACACTGTTCCTTGGAAAAGAATCCGCATGATCAACCTGCAAATAAAGAAGTATATACAAGTACATAATCATGACATTTTCAAATGTTTTCAAATTACTGAAACCAATTTTAAAAAAATCTCTGCAAAATACAAGGAATATTATTAGTGTGGAAATAATTTTGCAAAATCAACTCAAAGATAATGTGATATTTAGAAAAAAAAAATTAAAAGTGGAAGTATAAAATTCGCTTAGTCTTCTTGTTATGGATCTACGAATACAACAAAGCTCATCTACTCCTGACTGTGCTGATTCAGTATGTGGTTATCGAAATTCTTCTTTATGCTCATTAAGTGTGTGGTTATCAAAATTCTTGTATACACTTAAAGGTGTGCGGTTTTCAAAATTATTGTCTGTGATGATTCAGTGAGTGTGGTTATCAAAATTTTTGTCTTTGCCTGTTTATCAGAATTCTTGTCTGATGATTCAGTGTGGATTTTCAAAATTATTGTGCCACAGGGTCAGGGTCTTGTTTTATTCAGTGAAAACAAAACTGGTTCGGTCTTCAATTATTTAATTATGGATACAGAAAAAAAACCTAGAAAATAGAAAAACACACTCACAACACTCATACAAAACAATAGACAAAGACAAACACGAAACATAAAGACATTTAAACGTTAACGAAAAGTAAGGGTAATTAAGATATTAATACGACTGCCAGAAGTTCGTTACATATATTTAACAAGTAAATGAATTACAAGATTAATGAACATCTTACCAGGCATCCAGTATTAAAATCAGGAATAGATAATACACATCGATTGAATCGATCTAAGGCATAACAAATAGTTACGTTATCTGTCACCGTAAAGGCACAAAAGCTTGGGGTGGGGAATTTGGCGGGTTTCCTACTTTATATAGTGCACGAGTCAGTAAAAACATGCATATAAATTAGTATAGTGAAATCCATTGGTCCATGGTAGGTCACTGGTCAGTCATACGTATAGGAATGCTAAAAATAGAAATTCACCTGTACAAAACAAAACACTCGCACATGGCTCTCGCATACCTGCAAAACCGGTTGTATTCGATTGGCTATGCGCGCCAATCGGAATACGATATTAAATATTTCGCAAAGCATATACTAGTATTTAATAATAATAATAATTTAATTACAACTGTGACAATTGTCTGTGATGATTCAGTGAGTGTGGTTATCAAAATTTTTGTCTTTGCCTGTTTATCAGAATTCTTGCCTGATGATTCAGTGTGGATTTTCAAAATTCTTGTCTGTGTTGATTCAGTGTGTGCATATCAAAATTCTTTTCTGTGTTGATTCAGTGTGTGGATATCAAAATTCTTGTCTGTGCAGATTCAGTGGGTGGATATCATTTTTTTTGTCTGTGCCTATTCAATCTGTGTGGTTATCAAATTCTTGTATGTGCTAATTCAATGTGTGGTTAAAGCTGACATGAATTCTTAAAAACGCAAAATTTGCATCAATGTACGAATTGTTTCATACCAACTATTCCGCCATATTTCTTTCAGATACCTTGTCTTATTGTAACGATATATACCCCAGTGCCCTCGTTACACTTGAGTGAATTTTTGGTTTGGCTATCGACGCGTGCACATCTCCGATAGTAAAGCATTTGGGGAACACATGAATTGATGAAAACATTTTAAAACCAGAACGGATAAAAACAGTCATAACGATAATCATGAATAATTATCGTTTTGAATAACATAAATGCAAGTTTGGAAGAAGAAACATAGTTGCGCGTGTTTTTTAAAAGCATACCAATATACTGATATATGCACAATAAACTTGAAATAATACACAGTAAAACTCGTACAAACAATTTGCAATAATCTATCGTAAGAATGGAACAAACCATCACTCCACCAGTGTATTTCCTATGCATGTCCATATGCATTCAAATACAATTGATGCATATCGAGAGAACACGTCGAACACTGTAAACTTATTCATACCTGGAAATAGACCACTGTACCCGTTCGAAGATGTGCACGTGCCGAATAATTTACACCTTATATTCCATTTATTGAAATATGCATCACAAAAAGTAATAAACTCCATAAATACTCAACAGTAAGCACGTTGTCACTTCATCGTACAGCCTAGCACTCGAATACGCTTAGTCCGTGCTGATCAGATTTTGGTCGGGGAAAATATCAAAAGTAAAAAAGGGAATTAGTATTTGCGCGACTGGGTAAAAAATAAGAAATCACTAAAAAAAAAAAGTCTGATTGCTGATTATCTAAAAACTAAATTGAGTAATTTGGTGTAAAAAAAATGATTTAGAACACGACATGAGAGCATTTAACCAGAACACAAATTAACAAATACACATACGTGGAGCCGGGGGGGGGGGGGGATACTCCCTTTTCTCAGAGTGTCTTTCAGGCACGTTGCATCTAAGAAATAATTGACACTTTACCTGAAAAATCTTTGACAAGTAAAAAAAAAATAAATAAATAAATAAATAATAGTAATAATAAAAATTATAATGATAATAATAAAAAAATAAATAAAAAAATAAAATATAAGAAAAAATCTCCAAAATCCTATTTTGTGGCGGGGAGCGGTGGGCAACTTTTTCGAGGATTTGACTATAGTGCAACAAAATGTGGAGGAGATCAGCCTCTGAGTGTGTATCTCATACTAAACAGTAAAACATTATGCTCGGAAAAAGGGGGGCATCCCCCACCCACGTGTTCGACAGGGATTTTTTTTATTTTAAGACTGGCTGCCCCCCCCCCCCAACTCTAATCCAACATTATTGTACATTGTACTCAAATATTTTTCTGCCGAAAATGATAGTATGAATGGAATCTGTCCTTCCTCTGACTACGGAGTTTTTTTTTAAATGCTTGTTTTCCTTCTTCACTTCCCCTAATTTTTAATTGCCTAAAGTTTTTCTTTTGCTTATCAATCATTTTACTGCCCCCGCTCCCCCTCGCATACACACATTTTGAGAAACGGTGCTACGTGCCTGTTTTATATGCATGTATAGAAAGTCTTTCCATATTGGAGAGTTTCCGCAGGTAGTCTAAAATTTGGTACCTATTCAATTTCTTGTATTTTGAGAAAATCTTAAAAGATAGTTTAAGGATTACTTAAAACCTAAACTGCAAGATTATAGATAAATATTGTTTGCATTTTCAATACAAGTACATGTGTACTCCCTCTCATGTGTAAGCATCCATACATGTAAGAGTAATGATGCATATAAAATCCGATGTAGTAAAAATCTTGGGAAATGATATAGTCTTTATAAGGGCAGGTCAAGGAATTTTTCTGGGGCAGGGTGGATCAAACCTGCTGAAAAAAGTCTACTTTTTTTAACAAGCCAAAAAAAAAAAAAGGAAAAGAAAAGAAGAAAAAAAACCCTACACACCCAAACGAAAAGGGAACAAAGCAATTTTGAAAACTATATTTCACGGGAATGGAAACATGTGGACCCTTCCCATGTACTTTCCAGAGAAAACAAATTCAGTTTTTTGTTTCTTTATAAGAGCACAGAGGGTTCCTACCAAAAATTTTTAGACAAGAAAAAAAAATAATAATAACCAATATCAAAATAAAAAAAAAACTTGTGGGGGAGTGGGGGGGGGGGTGGACACTGTCAGGGGCACATTGTTTTCCTTTCCTATCAACTTTGACTATTAATTATATAATATTTAAAGAAATAATACACATGCACACAACCATATTTTGATCATTCAGTCACATCACAAAATTTCTTTAAATATCTAAAACGTGTAAAAATGTGTAGTTGTTAAAAAAAACTTATGTAATGTAAAAATTAGTACTTTTGCATCGCCTCGTGATATCTTTGGCAATGCGCGCGAAGATTGTTGAATCACACCACTTCACATTTGGGTACACGGTAGAACTATTTCAATTATCAATATTACTTTCACATATACTATTAATGTACTACTTATTCAACTTCAATATATACAAAAACATGTACTGTAGATTATTTTATATACACATAATTATCTCTGTGCTTGTTGGTAATTGTATCAATCGTGCTTGTAATTTGTGACGAGTAAAAGGGTCATTATTTGAAAATAATCTGTCTACAGAAACAAATTGTTCAGTGTGTGTAAATAAAAGATATATCAGGTTTTTTTATCTAAAATAGTCGAGGCCAGTTCATTGCAAGTATTTAAATATATTTGATCAAGGAAAGTTAGACCTTTTTCCGACGTTTGTTTAAAATATATTGAAAAATGTATTCTACATATTCCACCCCCCCCCCCCTTTCATTTTCTTTAAAAGATGTAAGATCCCT